ATGACCATTCTTTTCATCTGAAAAACCGTGAGAAGCCATGTGGACTCTCTGGGTCAGGGTCTCTCCAACTTCATCCAAGATGATGAATTCTAGAGCAGAATTACTGGTACTTATATATACTCACAGGTGCCACCCTAATCACACCTTCTCCTCCACCCTAGTTGAGATTTTTTGGATTAATTTACAGAACCCACCTTTAAAAATCCTATCTACCATTCATTTAGCATCCGCAACCTCTAATGCTATCCCCATTTTAGAGCTGAGGACCTTTGGGGCAGAATAGTTCAGAGCGCTGAGTCAGCTTTCTGACCCCAGCAGTCTGAGTGCTGAGCCCAGCCCATCGTCACACGTTTGCGCATGACAGTGGTTCAGTACGCCCTTAGAGGACAGGGACTTTGAAATCTGGAGAACATTTTAATAATTTAATTAACTTACAATGTTCTAGCAGGAGAGGTTTGTCTCCTTTCCCCAATTTGTTAATTAATCACTCATTTATACCAGTATGAACTGATATTTATTTTATACCATCGTTATAATACAATACCATTTTATTTATTTTGTTGTGAAACTTGTTTAAGATTCAGCTACTGGGAGGTGTTTTCTTGATTTCTGCACCACTCTGGCATAAGCTCATGCATGATTTTGTTTGTTAAAATTTCCCACATCCTTATTTTCCAGCATTACAAGATGCTCCAGGCTTATTCTGTATGTTTCTTCCCTGTGCTAGAAACTTACTGTCTTCATCAATATTGCTAGTTCTTTAGTTTTCCTAAAGTATAAGATTTCAGTTTTATTAATCACTTTTATTTTTGTATCTATTTTCCCTTTTGGTTACTTCTCATTCTATCATTATTTTTCTTTCCTTTTCTTTTGAATAACTCTGTTTTGTTTGATTTTTGCTTGTTATTATTAACTACTTGAGATCAACATAAAGACCAATGTGTTTGTAGAATGTGGGCTTTAATTTTCATATAAATATGGTTGCATTCTGGTTTCTATGGTTCAATTCCAATTTGAATTCATTATGTTAAAGATTCTTCTGAGTATCTTGATTCCAAGGAATTGTAATTGATATTTATTCTGGAGTTCTGATTTTGAAAAGCATTTTCCATTCCATTTTTGATTGGTACAGATCATATGATCAAAGTTTTTAAGGGGGTTGTGCAAATTATTCTAACAATATTGATTTTCTTCTGTGCTCTATAAAAAAAGCTGCCATCTGGATTGCAGATTTTTCAGTATTACCATATACCTCTCAGTTTTGGTTTTCTAGGTGCCAGTGCTATGTGTTTATAGGTGCATAATTTTCATGGCTGTATTATGTCCCTAGGAAATTTTTCTTTTCAATGAGTATAAAATGCCCCTCTTGATCCTATCAATACATTTGATATTAATATTGCTGCCCTAGAGATTTTTGTTTAATAATTGCCTAGATGGCTTTTTCCCATTCCTTGATTTTCAACACCTTAATTTTTGTTAAGATTAGTTTAAAATGTAAATGACAGGGAGGGGCATGGATAGAGTGGGAAGTCAAAGCAGGAACCAAGCCTGTGATTACATTAGCTGGGTGCAGATTAGGTTAGGATGCTGCCCAAATATAGAGCCAGGATTAGCAGGGTGTGGTGGCTCAAGCCTGTAATCTTAGCACTCTGGGAGGCTGAGGCAGGAGGATCCCTTCAAGTCAGGATTTGGAGACCGCAGTTTCTACTAAAAATAGAAAAGATTAGCCTTTTGCAGTGGTCATGCCTGTAGTCCCAGCTACTCCAGAGGCTGAGGCCAGGATCCCTGGAGCCCAGGGGTTTGAGGTTGCTGTGAGCTAGGCTGACACCACAGGGCATTCTAGCCCAGGTGATTGACCAAGACTCTGTTTACTTTTTATTAATATTATTCTAACAGAATACCTGAAATTGGCTAAGGTATAAAGAAAAGCAGTTTATTTCTTACAGTTATAGAGACTGAGTCCCATGTCAAGGGGCTGCATCTTCCGAGGGCTTTTTGCTCTTTGGGACGCTGCAGAGCCCCCTGGGACAGCACAAGGTGTCATATGGGAGGGCCTGAGTGTGCTGCTCAAGGATGTCTCTCC